GGTGCTTGAGGACGTGGATCAAAACGGTAAATCAAAGATAGTAAAATCCTGTCAGTTTGCTATAATACACAGTTTAAACTTGACTTTCAGTGTTTATTACTGTGTGTTTATTGGCGTGATGGTTTGGCCATAATAGTTTAACTAGTCATTACTATTAAGTCAGTGGGTGAAAAACATGAACAAATTGAACAAAATCTATTCTTAAACAAGCTTTTCAAAAGAATTTGGTTTGACTGTATAATCTGTATAAGTATGGAGTTGCTTTGCTTTTTTTCTGAACTGGTGTAATAAATTTTAATCTGTTATTAGGCTATCTGTTACCTGTGTTGTTACTGTTGTCATATTGTGTGTGATTTTCATTTTAAAACCCATTTTGGGTTAATTTAACCAAGCAGTAGGCCTATAGTAAATTGCAAACAATATTTGAATTAAATAAAACAGTCCACCATGTTTATTGATACATTACCTGATATATAATGTATGTATGTATGACCTATTCGATGGCCAAATTAAACCCTCTACATTTTTTTTTTGCTATAAAAACACCACAGTATACATCCACTGAAATACAAATGTATCATGTATTTTTTCTGCGAACAGCTGGAAAGAGGTAAACTTGTTTTAAGCTGCATTGACCCTGATGGTATATCATGCAAAGTTATTTGGTGATAGTGGTGTTGAGAAGTTGCTGGTGTGAAGTTGCTGAAATCGACGAATAAGCTTTCATAAGGTAAGTAGACTTGTGAATTATAAATCATAGCAGAAACTCATTAACTCATTTCACTAGATGTCCAGTTTTGTTGTTCAGTAATCTCCATCATGTCCGTCCTTTTATAATAGAATGTGTACCCCATGGTTAAAAAATACCTATACGCCTATAATAAAATACCAATATAAAATTATAAAAAGTATATATCGTCTTTCTAAATCATTCCCAAACATAAGATTGTTGTTTAGGCCATACATACCACGTAATATTAGAATAAGCACCTCTTAGTTTCAAAATTCTTAGAGTATAAATGATTTGTAATTTTACAGGTTGTTACCCCTTTATTCCCCAAACTTCGCATATTATTCCCTTATACCTACACGGAGGTACTGAATAGGTACACTATAATTACAAAAAAGTTACACTGTAACTTCAGTTTACTTATGCAGTTCTTTGCAGGTTGCATATCTGGTTGTTACCCCCTTATTACCCAAACATAACACATTGTTCCCTTATATCTACACGTATGTTCTTTATAGGTACACTATAATTACAGAAACGTACACTGTAAATTCAGTATACTTACATAGATCTTTGCGGGTTGTAATCTAAAGCGTTACCAAACTATGTATAGTTTTATTACTCCTAAGTTGGTTTTGACAGGTTGTTTCTCTTTTTTTCTCAGCTTTCCTATTTTTGGGTCCCTGGTGTTTCAGACCTTGATGGAAGTACAACAAATAATTGGTATTTAGACTACTGTTTATTTTTCATGGTCCTTGAGTCTTTGGCCTTGAGTGGTTTGCAGTGAAAATTATCCTGTAGGGCATGTGTGATGTGCATATATTCCAGACCTGAAGCTTTGGCCATGGAATACATTTGCAGTTTGTCTTTAGGAGTATGTGAAAGGAATATGACTTACAGAATCAGGAAGTAAACTGAATTAACAACAGTATTAATACAATAGGTTTAATAGGTTGGTTGGAAATGATGTATGTGGCTTTTACACTATGAAAAGTGACAAACAGATGAATGCTTTTAGTTTACAGGAACTAAATAAACTGCTATTAGTTCTGTTAATGTCTCTCATTTCCTCGGCAGAGCTTTTTTTTTCTTCAGGTTTTTGGACAGAAGATTAACTCTGTGATTCAAGCCAAATGGCTTTGTCCAGGCTGTCTGGTCTGGTCCTGACCAGACAGAAATTCCAAGCCAAAACAGTCATGTCTCTCAATAAACCATGTGCTTCAGCATTTCCAATCCAAATACATGATTTGGTGTATTTGAGTGTTTGCATCCAGGTAAAATGGAGCAGAAAGACACCTGTTTTTTGGTCCATTTATGATTAATTGAAGCACTGCAGGCAAATTTCTGCAAAATGCCTAAACCATAAAATAAAAGTCATTTATGAATTAGAATTGAAATATTTAAGACCTAGTGCACATAGTATGAATTTGGCCACAATTCTGCCATCTGAGACTAATTTTAGCAATTGCAAAAGATTCATTTTATATATAATATACAAATATACAAGATGTAGGCCATATTTTACAGAGAGTACACTCAGCTTAAATGTGTTTCAACAAAGACGATTTATGTACATAACTCATTTAGACCATTCATGATTATGTAGTGGCTCCACTGCCCATCTCTCAAACATCCCAAACACATTCCCAGTCAAAAGTATCTCTGCTCACCAAAGTTGCATTTATTAAATAAAAATACATTTGAAACTGTAATATTGTGAAATATTATTAAAATTTCATTTAAACTGTTTTTTTTTATGTAATTTAAAATGTAATTTATTCCTGTGATGGTAAAGCTGAATTTTCAGCATCAATTGCTGCAGTCGTCAGTGTCACATGATCCTTTGGTATTGATCAAAATGCAGCCTTGGTGAGCATAAGAGATTTCGGTAACACTTTACTTGAAGGGGTGTGCATAAGACTGACATGACACCTTCATAATCATGACATGACACATGTCATGAATATGAAGGAGGTTTTATGCATGTTTATGTCAACTGTCATTAAGTGTCATTCGCTCAGTTATGTCATTTTTAATGCAAATATGACATTATTTGACCTAACCCTACCCCTACCCTTACCCCTAACCATAGCCCATAACAAAGACATATCAAACAATGTCATCTTTGCATTAAAAATTACATAACTGAGTGAAATATTTAAAAAATCTTTATTATTTCTAACTTTCAACCATCTCAGTAGATGCTGATTCCTGAATGTTAGATCTCTAAATCAAACAGCAGCTATTATGAGTGCAGTGTATTGTGTTGAGCTCCGACACGGCAAATATTTTCATGCATTTGTTGTGCATCACTGCATCAAATGTACAGGTCATCGCTGCATCTCCTAGGGACATTCAAAATTTGAATTAGCAATGCTGGGATTACAGGAGAGCCTCAGGGGGCTGGCAGAGAGCTGATTTTGTAGGGCTCAGTCTCTGAGCTGGGGAATTTAAACATGAATACATTATAGGCTTAAGATATATTCATGCAAGGGCATATGTGTGATGCTTATGTTATCAGCATTAGAAGAAAAAAACATGCATAAAACTTAACTCATTTGTGGCTACATGGGTTTGTGATCTATAAATGTTCCGTGCCTTATGGTAACTGTAAAAAAGGGGATGGGCTGTACATTTAACATCCAAGTCTGAGACCACTAGTGAAAATGCCTATATTTTACATTTTTGTAAATTAATAAAACATTATATTATGACTTAAATAATTATTTGTATTATATTGAATATATTAAGTATAAGTAATATAACAATTATATATATATATAGGTTGTAAGATTTTTATGTTTTTGAAAGTTCTTCAAGGTTGCATTTAATCAAATGTACATATCATTTTATGTCTTTTTATTTTAATGAAAAATCCCAGATTTTCAATGTGGTGACTGACCTTTTGACCCCAATGTATGTTGTTTATAATACCAGGTAAACAAAAACTATTCCCATGTTTAGTGCACTTGATAGGACTGAATGTTTGCAGAGAACAAGGCCATGTGTCTGAGGGTGACCTTGCTCATGTATGTGTGTGCATGTACTTAAAATGGCTGCAGTGATAAACAAACACTCATCTTCAGTTCATGGCTGCTATCAAACGCTACTCCCGCTCATGATGCATGAGCCAGGTCACTAAAGCCACGTCTGTTTCACCTAAGAAATAAAAAATGAAAACAGCAGCAACAAAAATAATTCCAAGTGCCTTGCCCTCGCGATAGAGCGAACGCACATGCCCAGTATAGAATAAGCCCTGAGCTGTCAGAGCTAATTGAAAGTAATAGAGACTGCAGTCATTGGATTAGCGTGTCAGACATTGATACTGTCGGGCTGGAAACAGTTGGTCCAGAGATTGAATGATATTAGACTTGGCAGGGGCTGTTTCCAAATGCGGACTGTGAAAGGCTTTGGGCGTTTTGCTTTAGGATTTTCAAAGGTGTGAATCTTGTTTCATGATTTATCAGAATTTTGTCCTCCGGAGAGGAAATGCATAATGCAAAGAGGCCTTAGGGTGAGCGGTGACCTAATCATTTTTTTTACTTTTTTTTTTTTTTTTTTACAGAGGATCTTGAAAAAGTTATTCAAGGATAACTTTTCCTCAAGAAATATTGCTCTCATAAATAATACAAAAAAGTTGCTACATTATCTTCTGGTAATATAAAAATTTCTGGCTGCTATTGCTAGAATATAAAAACATGATAATAAAGCATGTACTTATTTTGCTGTAGGATGCAACATTAACATATCTTATGATTTTTTTTTTTTTTGATGAATAGTTAAAGGGATATTTTACCTAAAATCTTCTAATCAATTACTCACCCTGATGTTGTAGAAAGCCCATATGACTGACTGACTTTTGTATTCCAAAAATAAATAAATAAATTATTAAAGAATATCCAGGCAGTTATTTTTCCATGTAATAAAATGTAATGAAGATCGGGGCAGCCAAGCTCCAAAATGACAAAATTAGCACCATAAATGTGGTTCCTACAACTTCTGAACTCATTTGATAGCTTTTTATTAATTTGTAGTTTGTCATTTTTGCTTCAACTTAAACTTATTTCAGTTAGTTGCCAAATTTTTAATTTTTTCAAACTAATATTAATATTTTATTTCAGATTTATTTAAATTAACACAACTATTTTAAAAGTCTTAGTGTTAGTTAATGATACTAACTCTGGCTATAGCCTATAGAACGTCCTTTTGAAATGAACTTTTAAGTAAATGATGACAGAATATTATTTTGTTTTATCCATTTAAATATTCCATGACTGTAATGGTTTTGGCTTAACCAAGCCTTTGTTTAATTAAAATAATAGAAAGTATGACTAAAGCTCTAAAACTAAGTTTTGATGGTTATCGTTCTACCTTTTTTTAGTATTATTATTATTGTTGTTCATTTGCATTTAGTGGTTCAGTGTTGATGCACCCACTGCCCACGTCTTCTGGTTAGTCATCAATTCTTCCTCGGATTCCTCAGATATATCTTCCAAAAAAAAATGCAAATGCTTCATTTAGTCTACATCTGGACCCACGCTTTCAAGTTTTTTGTTTTTTATTTTTTGACATTATAAGTGCAATGTAACAGATTTACCAGAATATGATCATCTGATCTGTAACATGTGCAACTGACATTTCACAATAAACTTCCCCTCTGAAGAAGATGAAAACCGACACAACCATCTGTTTTCAAGTTTGATAGCCCTATATCATACATTGGTCTTTGAGGGCAAGAGAGGAGAATTCTTCACGACAAGAAAGAAAATTAAAATTTGGCCTTAATGCATAATAAAGTGACAAATTATGTCCCATTTTCTTCAGTCGACTTTGCTTGAGGAAGTATTGGAAGACGCCCATGGGAGCAGCCAGTCATCCATCACAGGCCAGTGTTGAGTCCCACAGCAGCAAAGCAGCTAATAGTGACACAGAACCCTGGGGAGGAGACCAAGCAGTCGCCTGCTACGAAAACAGAGCAGTGGAGGGGATCAAGGTTTGTTTTGTCCCCTGCGTTTTTCAGGCTATTATTTATTCTGCCTGGGCGGGTGAAATATCAGCGTCCTTGGCCGCTGGATCTCCTTCTCCCTTGCACAACTGACAGATCTCATTATGAGATAAAAATGACAAAGATAGCTCATGATGCTTCAGAGAAATGTAAAACCATTAGCAGGTCATTGTCATAGTTATAATGTGTCCTTTTAAGCAGCTTAGTGAACTGGTGGTGAAGTGTGATATCGGGATTAACCTATGAGGGAGTTTTGCATCGCCGTTCAGCTGCTGTTGATGAAATTGCGACGTGCGCTTTCAGGGCTCTGTGGAGAAATGGCAGAGTTCTGCAGGTTACAGAAAGAAATGGGGCTGTTTGTGATGGGAAAGAAGAAAGTCGACTGCAATGCGTTAAAGTCTTATTTTCCTGCATTTTGCTTTTCAAATGAATGCCCTCTTTACCTTTTCTCAACAGGCCTGATGGAGAGTTAAAAAAACTATTGTGTAAATTGACTTGGAAAGAAATAACAACAAATCTTTGCACCATTTTGCATCAGTGTCATAAAGAAAATCAAATGTAATGATGCAATTTACACTAACATTACAGCAATCTGATGCAACCGAATCATTGAGTCAGGCACTTGAACTTTATTTGTGAATGAATCATTCTGACCAGTATTGTGAACTGTGTCCACCAGTTCATTCAAATGAACAATTTGTTCACAAATCAGACATAAAATTATAGTGTAGGAGGCATAATGACCACTTTTATATGGTTTTTATTTGTTATAGTCCCAGGCCTCATTCACTTTCACTATATGAAAAGAATGGCCAGGATCAGTGTTATTTTATTAATATTTATATAATAATTATTTTGAATTAATATTTTGAATTAGCTTTTATTTTATGTTTTCAGTTTTAATTTTAGATTATTTTTCTGTTTTTAAAAAAAAATCAATTTTAGTTTTGCTGGCATTACCGAAGTTGCGAAAGTGAGCTCTCAGGGTTCTGCGGAGAAATGACAGAGTTCAGCAGGGTCACCGAATTAAATGAGGCTGTTTGTGACGAGAAAGAACAAGAGGGAAAGGGGTTAAAGTCTTATTTTCCTGTGCTGTATTTTGCTAATTTATGCATTCTTTACCTGTTGCGTGTAGGCCTCATGGGGAGTTCTAAAAATATTGGGTAAATTGTCTTTGACAACAAATGTTTTGCACCATTTTGCATCGGAGTCATAAAGAAAATCAAACGTAATGATGCAATTTACACTAACATTGCAGCATTTTGATACAAAGTCCTGGTTTCATAATTGCTGATAGAGTTAGTGCTGCCTATAATTTGTCTAGTCAGGAGGTGAGTAAACAATTTCAAATCTGTTTTTCACCCAATGTCTGCTCTCAGAGAATAGGAGATAAAGGTTTCAAGCACACATAGCACATTCCTCGGCACAATACATTCAGTAATGTGGATTAATTATTGCTCAGTGTATTTTTTGGAGAGTCTGTTTTGCAGCAGCGAGTTATTACTGAGCCCTATCAATCATTCTATTAACTCTGGCTATGCCTTTGACATCACATTAGTGAATGTAACTCATTATCTGGAGGGAAATTAGAGTAGTGCGGATCCAGCCATGCGTTATGTCTCTCTGCCCCGTAGCACACAACTCGGAGTTGTTTGATTGCTATGCCTGCTAGAACTGAAGTTGATTAAGTAATGACAGATACAGTATCTGCGGTTGCACTCCAAACTAATTCATCATTAGTGGCAGTATCACAGGTCGCTAATCTTACGCAGCTGAACGAAGCTCCCAGAAAGCTGTGACTTTTTCACACTTTTACACAAGTAGCATCCAAAATATCAAACTTCACAGATACGCGAGCCAAATCGCACAATAGCGAAATTAGCGAACGCCCAAGCATACTGTCGAGTCGTGAAGAAAATTGTGAACTTGTTCCGAGGAGCGATCCACGGTGGAATCTCAGCTAAATCTGCCATTCAAGCTGCTACAGATATTGAGAATGGAGCCAGAGGAGGTGACATGTATAGATGGACTTTCTGGTAATTGTTTATTGTGTTTAAATGTGTTTCTGGCGGCACAATATAGCTCCTTCGTGCCATTAAAAGTTCTTTTGATTACATTTTCATGCAACCTTGACCTTCTGCGCTGCAATAACAATCAATACAGTAGCCATTAGCATCCACGTAATTTGCTGCAGAAAAAATAAGGCAACAGCCTCTCGGTCTTTTCCGCCATTTGTTTAGGAAGCAGATGGAGCAAACTAAAGAGCTTGTAGGAAAGATGGATTTAATGAATTAAAACCCAAGATGCAAATTTAGATTTCTGTAATTACACTAGCTGATCATTACATTTTTCAGCGCAAACCTTCTGCCATCTTGTCTTTTGGCAGGGCCCATGTCCTTAAGAAACAATTGCAAACATATGTTCCCTACGAGAAAGGTGACACAAGTTTTTCTCCTTAAAGATGACCTTTAAAGTCACAGGAAGTGGAAATGGACCAAGATGGCTGTGGTAATTTTACCCGAGGGAGTCAGATAGCTTTGTGCTAATGACTGATGAATATTAGCATTGACTTTGGACTACAGTTAGTTGTAGGCTGCACACCCTGTTCCCATTGTAGTTTGCTATTATAAATCATTTTGTTGGTACACAATGGCTCAGGGGCATGAATGTGTGCTAAATGAGACTGTATTTGAGAAATAAATGAGAAATGTATTGTTGATCCTGAGATTGCCAAGGTCATTATAACAAGCTCTTAATTGCACAGAGAATTTTCACTTTTTTCCATATTATCGGTATATGCAAGAGAAACTGATTTGATTATGTTAATAAAGCATTCTCTCATATGTGGTAATGGAGGTGCAGTTCAGAATCATTAGCAGCAAAAATAAATCCCTGTTTAGATTTTCCTCTAATGCAGGCTAAGGAAAGTGCAAATTTTTAATGGTATTGATCAAGGTCTACTGAGCTCTGGGGTCTGCTCTAATTACGACCTCTTCTTCACAGTTTCTCGCGTAATGATGCCCACAAAGCAATTATTGCTCATCCCATTTATCTGATTCATCATAGGAATGATACCTAGACAATGGAAAAATGAAGTATTGCGGTGTGAATGTGCTTTAGTGAAAACACACATCCATTAGATCCTGCATAATGTTTAGAGCTCCCTTATTCAAATCCACCATTATGTTTCTGGGTTTAATAGAAGTTTACCTCAGTGTACAGCATTTGTTTCATGACGTTGATTACTAAAAATCACAGAAAGACTAAGGCATTAGTAAGATTATTATTTAAAGAAATACTGCAAGTGACCATAAGACCATATATATATATATATATATATTTTTTTTTTTTTAAATACATTCTGTTCTTTTGAATGTTCTATTCATCAAAGAATCCTGAAACAAAAATATTGTTAATTTATAACAGTAAGAAATGTTTCTTGAGCACCAAACAAGCATATCAGAGTAATTTCTGAAAGATCATGTGACATTGAAAACTGGGGTAAAAATATATTAAAAGAGTTATTTTAAAGGGGTCATATGATGCGATTTCAAGTTTTCCTTTCTCTTTGGAGTGTTACAAAGGGAACACAAACGGGCAGGAAACTCAGCCCTGCTGATGAACATTAGCAGACAGGGTACAGGCGGCAGCAAATGCTGCAAAATAAGTAAGGTGAATGACTCTGTATGCACAGAGCCTACGTTTTTCATACACAATATGAAAATGGTTTATGTAGCTTTTGAAAACTGAGCCACAGAGGTTTGCTTTTTAATGGATGATTCTTGAAGACAAAATGGATCCAAGATTCATGGCATTGTAGAATATATGCAGAGGGTTGAAGTGCTTAAATAATACCAGAGACGCCAAAATGCAAGCAAATATATGCTTGAGATATTTACATTATTTACTCACTGTCATGTGGCATATTTTGCATCTTGATGTGAACTTTGTTCAAACTTTTGCTTCAGGCTAAATGTCCTCTGCACATAATATTGCTTTCTCCAGTGAAGTGAAAACAGTCCAAAACAGTTCTAAACAAACATGTATGTGGATTTTAATGTGAGAGGACAACAAGGGATGGCTTTTTTCATTGGAGGAATCATTATTATGGATTATGGGGTCATATTATGGTGAGACGTGGCAGTTTAAAGTCATAATAATGGATTTATTTCTTACAAACAGTTTTTCACTTCACAAGAAGTGAGGGATTGGAGTCGTGTTGTGGATTATTGTTTTTATCAGCTGCTTGAACTTATTAATGCTTAATATAATGCTAAATTATGCTGAATCTGTTCCGTTGAACAAACAAATTCATCTACATCTTGGAATACCTGACAGTAAATTTTCAGATTTTTTAATTTTTGGGTGAACTACTACTGTAAACCTGTAGTCCACTTTCTTTGTTTCTTTCTTTTTTTCCTAGAAAAGCACACCATGGAGCTCAGCCCAGAACAAGGAAAACGTTCTGCTCAGAATGAATTATGTGTTCCATGCAAGCACTTTTCGAGCAGTTGTGAAAATTCATAAGTGCACATGTTGCCGTGGTCAGATTGTGCAGGTGTTTGTTGAATTGCAGTCTGTGGTCACTGCTGGTGTGAGAGTGGATCCAGGAGCTGTGTGCGCTGTAGAAAGCACTCTGACTCACCAGGCCAGCTGGTCCGGTCCACGCTCACATCTGCACAAGCAGCTCAGAGGGAGGAGAGAGTCTTGTTTACCGAACAGCCGGTTGAAATACACTTTGTTTTAAGGACAGTCACATTAACACTGTGAGTGCTTGCTTGTTTTGGCTGTGCTGGCAAATAACCTAAGAACCTTGACGAATGTGTTACATGGAATATCATGGTGCTCGATAAAAACATGTTAAACTATGTATGTGGCCCAAAAAAATTTAATTACATTTTAGCCGCATTTAAAGAATATATTAAGGCTTGGTCACACCAAGAGCGATAATTATACAGATAACTACTGTATAAAAATAACTGTATTTG